TGGAATGTAACATCCATGAATCAAGGCAAGCTGGATGTGGTCAAACATGAGATGACAAGACTGAACATCGACATCTTAGGAATCAGTGAACTAAAATGGACAGGAATGGGTGAATTTAATTCAGATGACCATCATGTATATTACTGTGGGCAAGAATCCCTCAGAAGAAATGGAGTAGCCTTCATAGTCAATACAAGAGTAGGAAAAGCAGTACTGGGATACAATCTCCAAAATGACAGAATGATCTCAGTTTGAATCCAAGGAAAACTATTCAACATCACAATAGTCCAAGTCTATGCCCCAACCACTGGTGCTGAAGAGGCTGAAGGTGACCAGTTCTATGAAGGACTACAACACCTTCTAGAATTAACACCAAAAAAATGATGTCCTTATCATCATGGGGGATTGGAATGCTAAAGTAGGAAGCCAAAAGACAACCGGAATAACAGGCAAGTTTGGCCTTAGAGTACAAAATGAAGCAGGGCACAGGCTGGTAGAATTTTGTCAAGAGAATATGATGGTCATAGCAAACTCTCTTTTCCAACAACCCAAGAGACGACTCTACACATGGACATCACCAGATGGTCAACACAGAAATCAGATTGACTATGTGCTCTACAGCCAAAGATGGAGAAGCTCTATACAGTCAGTAAAAACTAGACCAGGAGCTGACTGTGGCTCAGATCATGAGCTTCTGGTTGCAAAATGTAGGCTTAAATTGAAGAAAGTAAGGAAAAGCACTAGGCCACTCAGATATGACCTAAATCATATCCCTGATGAATATACAGTAGAGGTGACAAACAGATTTAAGGAATTAGATCTGATAGACAGAGTGCCTGAAGAACTTTGGATGGAGGTTTGCAACATTGTACAAGAGGTAGCAACTAAAACCATCCTAAAGAAAAAGTAATGCAAGAAAGCAAAATGGCTGTCTGAGGAAGCTTTACAAATAGCTGAGGCAAGAAGGGAAGCGAAAGGCAAAGGGGAAAGAGAAAGATACACCCAATTGAATGCAGAATTCCAGAGAATAGCTAGAAGAGATAAGAATGCCTTCTTAAATGAACAGTGCAAAGAAATAGAAGAAAACAATAAAATAGGGAGAACCAGTGATCTCTTCAAGAAAATTGGAGATATGAAGGAAATGTTTCATGCAAAGATGAGCATGATAAAGGACCTAAATGGCAGGGACCTAACAGAGGCAGAAGAGATTAAGAAGAGGTGGCAAGTTTACACAGAAGAAACACAAGAAAGAGCATAACGTCCCTGATAACCACGATGGGGTGGTCACTAACCTCGAGCCAAATATCCTGGAATGTGAAGTCAAATGGGCCGTAGGAAGTCTGAGCAACAACAAAGCTAGTAGAGGTGACAGTATTCCAGCTGAGCTATTCAAAATCTTAAAAGACGATGCAGTAAAAGTGCTACACTCAATATGCCAGCGAACTTGGAAAACTCAACAGTGGCCACAGGATTGGAAAAGGTCAGTTTACATTCCAATCCCAAAGAAGGGCAATGCCAAAGAATGTTCAAACTACTGCACAATTGCACTCATTTCACATGCTAGCCAAGTTATGCTCAAAATCCTACAAGCTATGCTCCAGCAGTATGTGGACCGAGAACTACCAGAAGTACAGGCAGGATTTCGAAGAGGGAGAGGAACTAGAGATCAAATTGCCAACATATGCTGGATCAGGGAGAAAGCTAGGGAGTTCCAGAAAAACATCTACTTCTGCTTCATTGACTATGCTAAAGCCTTTGATTGTGTGGATCACAACAAATTCTGGCAAGTTCTTCAAGAGATGGGAGTACCAGACCATCTTATTTGTCTCTTGAGAAACCTATATGCGGGTCAAGAAGCAACAGTGAGAACTGGACATGGAACCTCTGATTGTGATTCAAAATTGAGAGAGAAGTCCCAGAAGGCTGTATACTGTCGCCCTGCCTATTTAACTTATATGCAGAGCACATCATGAGAAAGGCGGGCCTAGATGAATCACCAGTTGGAATTAAGATTGCTGGGAGAAATATCAACAACCTTAAATATGCAGATGATACCACTCCCATGGCAGAAAGTGAAGAGGAACTAAAGAGCCTTTTGATGCGGGTGAAGGAGGAGAGTGCAAAAGTTGGCTTGAAACTCAACATTAAGAAAACTAAGATCATGGCATCTGGTCCTCTCACTTCCTGGCAAATAGATGGGGAAGAAATGGAGGTAGTGACAGATTTTATTTTCCTGGGCTCCAAGATCACCGCAGATGGGGACTGCAGTCAAGAAATTAAAAGACACTTGCTCCTGGGGAGGAAAGCTATGGCAAATCTAGACAGCATACTTAAAAGCAGAGACATCACCCTGCCAACAAAAGTGTGTACAGTCAAGGCTATGGTTTTCCCAGTTGCAATGTATGGCTGTGAAAGCAGGACCATAAGGAAGGCTAAGCGCCAAAGGATTGAGGCCTTTGAATTGTGGTGCTGGAGGAGACTCCTGTGAGTTCCTTGGACACCAGTCAAGTCATAGAGATCAACCCTGACTGCTCTTTAGAAGGCCAGATACTGAAGATGAAACTCAAATACTTTGGCCACCTAATGAGAAGGACTCCGTGGAGAAGAGCCTAATGCTGGGAACAATAGATGGCAAAAGAAGGAGGGGACGGCAGAGATTGAAGTGGCTAGATGGAGTCACTGAAGCAGTTGGTGTGCGCTTAAGTGGACTCCAGGGGATGGTGGAAGACTGGAAAGCCTGGAGGAATATTGTCCATGGGGTCGCGATGGGTCGGACAGGACCTCGCGACTAACAACAACAACGCTTCTTTCACACTGTGGCTCTAGGATGCCTCTAGGGCTAGCATATAATATGCCTCAGGTGAGCCTACTGGGCAGCAAAGATAAGGCTGAACATAGGTGTTAAGAGGTGGAGGGGCTCATTCATCTTCCCATGGCAGAGATGACAGGACATGGGCAAAAATCTACTTGGGATGAACAAGGCGCGAAACTTGGTTTGTGGGGATATGCAGGCGCACTCACAGCTCCACGAGATTGGTGGCCAGGGTAGGGACAGCTATGCTGGGGAAGGAAGAATAAAGGCAGGGACCAAAAGAATGGACGGGGGTAGGCAAAAGAGAGAGCAGAGGAGGGAAGGGAAGGACATGGACAAGGAGACACACAAAAGCAGCCTTTGGGAGAAAGCTGGAAGCAACTGGCATTGCCGCAATGCGCAGAAAGCCAGACAGGGGCAGCAAGGGCAGACCCTGTGCCCAAAATGCAGCTCCTCACCTTCTCAGAGGTGATGCCGCTCTTTGCCTTAGAAACAGGGGTAAGGAAGGGTCCAGGCGAGGAGAGGGCTTTGGTGCTTTGGGCAGCATGGCCAAGACAGATGCTGTAAACCATAAATATAAGGACCTTCTGGGTAAGCTTGCTTCCTCACAAGTTTTACATGGAACAAGGTGCCTTCAACAGGTCCCTCCCTCCTAATCCTATTGCAATAGGCAACAAGATGATGTTCCTTTGCTGCTCTGACAGCATTTAAATATCTGCTTAGAGAGTCCTTAGGACTTATTTAGCATGTAGCATATATTGCCAGGGAGTCTAAAATGTTTTGCACACAGATGTTCCAGCGCCTGCAGCTGCTAGTCTGTTATTGTGCTGGTGCACCATGTGGGGCGAACTAGCTTAGCTCCGTTTGACCAGTGATGTTCTTATTGAAATCAGTTCATCCAGGGCTTTTCTCTGCTGATCCTCTCTGCCTAGTGTATCCAGGCAGATCCAGCACCAGTGCTTGCTTTCATTGTGAACAAAGCCAGCAGGTTTCTCATCAAGGAGTGGCGGTCCCTATTTATCTACTCGCAGACAGTACGCTTTCAAACTGCTAGGTAGGCAGGAGCTAGGGGCAGATGATAGAGGCTCACTCCGTCCCGCAAGGCTGGGCTCAAACAGCTAGAGTGTCGACCATTTCTGATCACCAGTTCTAGTGTCATTAAAGCACTGCGCCACTGTGTCCCCCCACCTTCCTTACGACTAATTTGTGGAATGTAAGTAGAATGAATGAATGAATGAATGAATGAATGAATGAATGAACCTGACTGCAGGCAGATAATGGGATTTGATTGCATCCCATTTGAACTCAAGTTCTTTTTGTTTTGTTTGTCAACAACTTTTTTGTTTCATCACTCTCAGCTCCAGGGTATACCACAAAGCCATATGACTTCTTTGTAAAAGAAGTCGCTTAGGAACAATCATGTGAACTGCCTGGGTTACAACTTCTATGACTGCGTGACTTAGAGAAAAAGGAGAGTAAGGAAAAACATGATAAAGGCATACAAATTAATCACAGTATGGAGAAAGTGGACAAAAAGATTTTTTTCTCCTACTTTCATGATACTAGATTCTGGGGTCATCCCATGAACTGCTTTTTCTACACAGTGCACAGTTAAACTTCCACAAAATGCAGTGATGGACAACAATTTGGATGGCTTTAATGTAGTCCAGATGGCCATATGCTACCTCCGCTTTCAGAGGCAGTGTACCTATTTACACCAATTGCTGGGGAACACAGAGAGGAGGGTGCTGTGGGTCCCTGTGGGCAGCTGTTTGGTCAATATGTGAACAGAAGGCTGGACTAGATGGTGCCTTGATTTGAGCTAGCATGCCTCTTCTTATGTTTTTAATGTGCATGTGAAATGCCAAACACAATTGAACTAGGAGAAGCCAGGAGGTGGTGGTGAATCACCTAGACTCAGACATTTTTTAAAATAAACATACTAAGTTAAGAAAAAGACCTTAATTCCACTGTTCCTTTTCAAATCAATGTACACAGAATCAACTGCTTACCTCTTAAGTGCTAAGTTTCAAAAAATTCAATGAATAGAAGATGAGTATCTTGGGAATTAATAGATTTGCACAAGAAAAGTGTGAGGAAGGAGGGGCAAGCAGGAAAAAATGAAAATGAAACCTTTTGAGCATAATACTCTACATGTCTTTGGATCTTTTTGTGTATAGACTCAGATTTATCATATTGCTCATTTTCTGGAGGAGAAAACCTATAATGGCAGCAGGCTGTAAAAGAGATCCAGTTTGGAAATATTATCATGAAGTTCCTCTACCTATGAATAAGGCAAATTATGTAGAAAACCATGATTTAAAACTAGTCTTACTGAATAGTAATTTAAATGACTTAAATCATGATTTAAAGTGATTTGATTTAAATCAAATCCACCCTAGCTACAGAGGAAGAATATAGGCAGGTAGCACTGAATTTTAGGGTTGGTGCCAGGAATGCTAAAGCTAGGAATGAACTGAGGCTAGCAAGGGATACTAAAAGCAACAAAAAAGGCTTCTTCAGGTAAGTCCAAAGTAAAAGACAGAGGAAAGAAATGGTAGTTCAACTACTCAATATTGATGATAAAATGGTAACAGATAACATAAAAAGCAGAAGTACTCAATTCCTAGTTTGGTTCAGTCTCCTCCCATGGGAGGATTACACCCATGCCTAGAATTCAACAAGTATAACTTCTCAGTCTCCTCCCAAAGAAAATCTATGGCCTTCCTAATAAAGAGAAAGTACAAGCTGAAGGAGCAGGATAGTAGCACAAGACTCAGGCAAATGCTCAAGGATCATCTAATTGGTTGAATTAGTTCAAATCTCCAGGGACTGATGAACTCCATCCTAAAGTCATAAAGAACTGGCAGAAGACCTTTCAGAATCACTAATATCTTTAAGAAATGATGGAGGACAGGGGAGATGTCAGATGACCAGAGAAGGGCTAATGTGGTTCCTACCTTCAAGAAGGGGGGGGGGCGGGGACTCTGAGAAGTCAGTCTTACATCAATTCCTGCAAAAATTCTGGAGCAGCTTATAAAGCAGTCATTCTGCAATGCTTTGAAAACAATGCAGTGATTAATAGAAGGCAGCATGGATTTCTCAAGAACAAATCTGATTTTATTTTTTGATTGGGTAATCTCCCTGATAGAATATGTCCACAGCATTCCCACAATCTATCTTGACTTTGGGCAAAGCGTTTGACAAAGTGCCTTATGATATCCTGATCAGCAAAACAGCTAAAAGTGGACTAGATGGAAAAACAATCAGGTGCAGCCATAGTTGGCTACAGAATTGGGATCAAAGAGTGTTCAGCAATGGCACTTTCTCCAGCAGGGAGAGGTCCTAAGTAGGGTACTAGAGTTCTGTCCTGGGCCCAGTGCTTTTCAACATTTTTATTAATGATTTGGATGAGCAAGTGCAGAGAATGATGATCAGATTTGCAGATGACACAAAACTGGTTGGGATAGCTAATACATTGGAAGGCAGAAAGAAGATTCAAGGTGGTCTTGATAGGTTGGATCACTGAACTGAAAACAACAGAATGGAATTCAATAGAGACGACTTCTGGTTGGCGTCGTGGCGAGACAGCTGTGAAGAACAGGGGCTCCCATTATCACGCCGGTAATTGTTCGACAGTGAGCCGGGAGAGGCAGGGATTAGGCGTCCGAGCATTCTTCTGGTTGGTGTGGGGCGGTGGCTCCGCATTTACTGGGAGAAATTCGGGCTTTTCTCAATCGAACAACACAGGGGAATGATCAGCTCCCTGCAAGCCATAGACAATCAGATATAGCATAGAATAATAGCTAGAAGTTCATTGGACCTGCTGGGTGAGCATTTCTATTTTTTTTTTTCAATATTACTCATGAAAGAACTGAAGCAGTTACTAATTGGCATAAAGAAGAAAGAAAAGCCCCTTTGATGGAGGGAGGAATTCCCCCTCCCCCCACGGAGTTTTAAGTGGCGATTGATCTGGGGAAGAGGAATTGAGGTTTTTTTTTGGAAAGCATGAGGCTGGAGAGAAAGACTTCTTTTTTCTAATCTCCCCAAGGGCGAAGAATTAGAATAAATAACTATAGTGGAATAAGTGATAGAAGAACAAACCTTCTCTTAATTGCTGAACGGCCATTTTTACCTTGTCTTATTGTCGTTGTCCCAGTCCTTCTTTAAAACAATCTTTGTGATGTCATTTAAAGACAAAATAGCCTTTGCTGCCATCCTGTGGCTATTGGATTTATAGCAAGTTTCCTCCTTTTTTCTTTTTCTTTTTTCTCTTCTCTCTCTTTTTGTTGCTGTCCTGTAATTTTTGGCAAAAAATTATCACCATGAAAAAAATACATTCTTCCTCCTCTTCAGCACCTACATCAGCAGCTCAGAGTTCAACTCACCAGTCTAAAGCGGCAGATGCCGAAAAATATCAAAAAGAGCTACAAATGACTCTTTTGGCAATACAGACATCCTTAACAGCTTTGCAAGCATCCCAAGAGGCGATGTCAACACGACAGGAAAGCATGTCAATTGAACAAAAAAGCTTTGCAAATGAACAAAGAGAACGTCTTGTTAAACTGGATAACTCTGTTAAGGAGGTATCAACCCAATTGGTGGACGTTTGACTTAAAACTGAACAGAACACACAAAAAAGACAGCAAGTGCATGAAAAACTTGAAATGGTAGATAAAGAAACACAGTTAATAAAGCAAACAAATAAGTCACTATGGGATTTGCTTGCCATATTAGAGATGGAGAAGGCATCTAACTATTTGAGATTTCAGAATATACCTGAAGGAAAGAATGAGGACCTATGGGATTTAATGACTCACATGTTGGCAGAGTCATTAGAGCTAGAAAATGAAGAGATGAGAACAAGGATTGACCTTATTTCCAGAGTTAATTCAGCTTACGCCAGGAAAAATAAACTTCCGAGGGAAGTCCATATCAAATTTGCTCAAAGTTCTATAAGAGACAATGTTTTGAGGGCCATACGTGAGAAACCTTTAAAGGTGGATGATCACCATGAGGTGACGGTTCTGAAGCAAATACCATGGAGGATTAGAGAAGGACGAAAGAAATACTTATTCCTTACTACAAAGCTGACTAAGAAAGAGATTATGTTTAGGTGGCTAGCGCCAGAAGGAATATTTTTCACCTGGAACTCTACAAGATACAAACTGGACTCAATCTTTAAGGCACAAGAATTTTATGAAAAATTCAGAAGTATGCTTGAAGAGGAAGAACTGGGTGCCTCAAAAGAAGGAGGGAAAGGTGCCAAACCAATGGAACTAACAACATATCACTCTGAGAAAGGAGAAATGGTGAATACCGACTCACAACAAGAAGTACAGACACTGGAACCAAAGGAAAAGAAAAAAAGGTAGGAGTGTGAAGGCGAAGAATAAGTAGATAAATAAATACTCTTTAAACATGGCCTTTAAAAGGGAAGGAAAAATTGAATTGCTCTCTTTAAATGTTAATGGACTAAATGGACCCTCTAAGAGGAGAAGGATTCTCTCTCAACTTCAAAAACGAAAATTAGATATAATTTGCCTACAAGAAACACATATTAAGAAACAACATGCTAAACTTTGGAATGTTAAAAGCTTGGAAAGTTATTTATATATTCTGCTTCTCAAAAGAAGAGAGGTCTAGCATTATACATTAAGGAAAAACTAGACCCTAAATATATACTAGCTGATGAGGACGGTAGGATTCTGATGGTTGAACTCACAATGAAACTTAAAAAGGTGCTTTCAGTGGCGATATATGCCCCAAATGACCATCAGGAAATGTTCTACCAAAAATTACATGCTTTACTCTTACAAGTGGGCTACTAGACTGTGTGTGTAATGGGAGACTTCAATGCAATTGTGGATAAGAAAATGGACCATAAGAGTGAGATTAAAGGAAAAAAGGGCAGGAGGATACTCCCAAAGTCTTGTTCTAATATGACTGAAGAACACAGATTGATAGATGCTTGGAGGCATAAAAATCCAACCTCTGCTAAATATTCTTTTTACTCAAATAGATATAGGTCATGGTCTAGAATTGATATGGTTTGGATAACCCCAGACTTAGTACCAGACTTGGTAGAGGCTGAAATCAAATGTCTGAGCAGATCACAATCCTGTAGCTATATCAGTAATGACACCCAGATGGAGCTTAAATAAAGCCTTATTAAGGGATAAAAAATTCATAGAAGAGATAAATAAGGAAATGCAAGTGTTCTTGCCCCTGAGATGAGAATGTGTGAACCTGGCTTTGATTGAGAAAGATTCATGAGGTCATTTGTCTGAGCCCAAGCATGGCTGAGTCCGGCTGGGAAAAAGGTGATGATCAGGGCATGAGTGTGTGGGATTTTTTCCTTCCCCCATTCCTTGTATATGAGCCAGAACTGGGAAGTAAGGAAATGTGTGGCCCTTGAATTGGGCTTGCAAACGCAGGTCCTACCCAGTTTTCTGGACATGCTCAATAAGCTTATCCTGTGTGAAAGCCCTGTGTGCAAGAGGGGTTACATAGAAACATTTTTATGAAGGTCCTTTCCTTGTCAGAAACTGGGAACACTGTTTTAATGTCTTTAATGTAAGTTTTCTGCCTCTTTCATCTGCCTTACAGCCCTCCTAGGTAGGAAGATTCCTCTTTTTGTGAGATTAAATAATTGTGTTTGAAATTCCAGGAGGCGATGCTGATGGGCAGAGGAAAGATGGAAAAAAAATGTGCATACTGTTGGGAATACTCAGTAGGAATCCTGAAAAGGATTCCCAGTGAGATAAAGAAAGGATTTTATATTGGGAACATATTGCTGGTAAAGTTTTGCAAATTTAAATTGTTGTGTTTAGCAATTAGCCTGAGCAGTAGCAGGCTGGAATGCAACAGGGCAGCGTGTGAAATCAGGGGAAGACAGATTGCAGTTGACCATTAATAAATATTTCTGCCAAATTGGTTGGTTTTTCTTCCCCTGTTGAACTTGCAGCTGTTTGGAATGTGAGGTTTGAGTGAAAGGCAAAAAGATTTTTACTCTGGATGTTGTGTGTATGCCATGTGAGAATGATGCAGGGGGTGCATGGTGCTTGGAATGTGAGAGAATTTTAAGAGTCTTGGTAAATGGTGATTTGGCACTTTTTCTACTGAAAAAAAAATATGGGAAGAAATGTGTAACTTTTGGAGTAAAGACAAGAAAAAAAAAAAAGAGAGAGGAACAGTCTACCTTGCTAAGAGCACTCCCATTATTTAAAGAGACAGTAACTGCAGCCTCTTCTCTGGATTTGGTCTGGCAAACTGAATTCAGGAAGGATTTGTGCTGGAAAATTTGGATTTCTTGACTCTGTGGGCTTGGCTATTCCACAGAGCCAAGAAAAGGGGGAGATGGTCTGGCAGGAAGATACCACAAACACCACTTTGTGAGTACTGCAGAAGCAGCACACACAGCCTCTGAGCATGTGCAGAGTTCAAAATACTTTGGGAAGTTTGAGCAGCTCCGCTTCCAGCCACAGATTGGAGGCGGGCTTGCATTAGTTCTCAAAGAAAGTCTTTGAGTCTCTAGAAAACTCTAAAAGGAAATCTTGGTGTCTTGGAAATAAAAGTTGCGTAACTGAGGTAAGGCATTTGAGTGTTCAGAGCTTGTATTGCCTCAGGAAAAATTCTGCCTGGGAAGGGTTGGGTTAAAACAAAGACCCTCAAGCACTCTCAATGAGTCACTAGGGTTTTTTTAGGAAGGGAATCCTTCCAAAAAGCAACGTTGGGAGCATGTGATTTGTGTCAGCCATCAAGAGTTTTCCCTCTCCAATAACTTCTATTTTCTATGCAACATGGATCTGGGTCTTATATATGTGTGTGGGTATAAGTTCTGAATTCTGAGTATACCATTTTGTTATTTTGCTATGTTACAACTGAAAGATTGGGAGGAAATGGATGAAACTCTGGGGCTGTGTATGTGTATGCAGTAGGAAGAGTTTCTTTTCAAATCTATGAGGCTACTTTTCCCTTTGGTGTCCAACAGAAAGTTTTGTTTCCTTTTTCCTTTTGCAATGTGCCAAATATTAATGATAGTGATATTGCTGTTACTGATGTTACTGGTATTGATGCCCTTACAGTAGCCTAATGTTTGTTGGGGACTGAGCCCATTTGCCAGCCCAAGGATGCCCAAGGATGTTCATCTAAATGCGCAAGCATTGATTGTTAGATGAAATGTGTGTTAGTTCAGGTTTGTTTGTGTTAACAATGGGTTGGTGCATTTTGCATCTATGTGGAAGAGTATCATGTCTGCAATAAGAAATTGTGTAAAACTGTTCTCATTGTCCAGAAGAAAGCACATTTCTCTTTAGCCTAGGCAAGCAACAGGTTCGTGCAACACCAGTTCAACAAAGGATTTATTTTGTGTGCATTTTTTGCATTGGTTGGATTGATTTATAACTGGAAACAGCAGAACCCCCCCTTCTCTGAAAAACCACAAGGCTTGATTTATAGCTCAATTTATAGCTGAGCGGCAGCTAGCATGCGATGGCAGCCTTGCTAAGCTGGAAAGGCTCCGGCCTGTAGCTGGATGGGTGACCGCATGTGGATGCTGACTGCTATGGATTACACACCCATCATCCTACTTGGGATGACTGCCAGCAACTCCTGCAAGTTCTTTTTACTTTTTACTTCCGAGGAGCGCGAACGGATTCACCTTGAGGCTCGGAAGCAGGTTCTTGGCACAGATGGCCAACCCACCACTGACCCGGTTATTCTGGAAACGAGCCTCCCAGCCCAACGACCCAACTGGGATCCAAATACAATTGCTGGTGAAGGAGCTCTAACCAGGACCTCCAGATCATCAGCGCCCACACGGTAGAGACCCTTCTCCGAAGCCCACCTGATCGCTGGATCTCCAACGCTCACGCCACGCAATATCAGGTATTACTGCTGGACCCTCCCCGGGTAACCTTCTCCAAGTCTCCAAGACAATGGTCCTAAATCCGGCCACCCTCCTGCTGGGGGACGAACAGGAGGGCCCTGCCCCCGATTGCACTGAAGTCCTCGACACTATCACCGGCACCTGACCAGATCTGTCCGATGTCCCGCTAAGCCTGCCGGACCACAGCCTATTTACAGATGGGAGCAGTTTCGTCAAGGACGGAGTCCGGTATGCAGGAGCAGCGGTGGTCACCAGATCTGAGGTAATATGGGCCCAGTCACTGGGACACGGCACGTCAGCCCAAAGGGCGCAGCTCATCGCCCTAGCGCAAGCCCCCCGGTGGGGGAAGGGGAAGACTCTTAACATTTACACGGGCAGCCGGTATGCCTTCGCCACGG